AATAATAAATTTAATTATATCATTCTTAATGATATACCAAACAAGTTAATTGAAATCATTATTACATGACAACACATTTCCAATCATTACGTTCTATTACATTCCTATTGATTCTATGAACCAAACGAGCTTCAAATGTTTAAAGGTACACTCAACAAGATTTGATCTAATAAGTAAGAAGTCATATTATGACTCACAAAGTTGTGGGTTAGAATCCTGATAAGACCACCTTATTAGTGAATGATCAATAAGTATATCTATAAGTGTTTTTTAAACCTCAATGCTTGCCCTGATTTTAATGAGTTTCTAAAACTTAACTTATTTAAACTTTTTTACACCAAAAAAATATTTAAATGTATTTTAGTGTAATTGATACTAGTCAGCTAATGTGTGACTTCTTTTTAGCTGTGTAATATATCTTCACTAATGTGAAATGAAAGACATTACATATAATTAAAGACACGTTGTACAAAGGTTAAAAACAGTTGAATTCGCTGGAAATTAGTTGCACTTCTCAGGGATCTACGCCTTTAAATATTTTGGGATAAAGTCTGCAAAGAGAAATTTTAAGCAATTTTTCCTATAAAATATGAGTACAAAAATTATTGAAAAAAATCATAATACTAGTACATATAAATTGCAATATAGTATTGTTTTATTATAGATTTTATGTAATTACATAGGCCGACTCTAATTTTGCATATTCTCGTACACCAAAGCACAACCATTTGAGAGAATGATAATTCAGGATCTGATTGGATAGTCAATGTTAAAACAAATTTTATTGAAGACTTGGGTGGACAAAAATGTTCTTGATGAAATCCTCATTGACAACTTCCATTAACGATAAAAAAAAAAAATCCTACCAATAAATATTTTATGATAGCCGGCTGGTCGCCGATAATAGAAACCTAAGAGGGGCATTTCTGTTTACCCAACTTTTTAAGAAAATTTATTTAAAGATTTTGGTCTTTTGTTCACTTAGTCACTGATAACAAAAAAGCTATGTGCACACAGTTAAAAAAGAGCTGCACCAATTGAAGATAAATTGCAATTATTCAAAGACATGTGTCCTTAAATAAATTTGAGTAATAAATTAAAATTTCCCAGCAAGTTTTCTTGAAAATATTTGATGTTGGGAGTTTTTTTAATGATCATATACTTGTATTGTAAGATATGCACGTATATATGATAAAAATCGATAATTATGTTCATAAAAAATTTATCTGCGAAAAATTTATTGGCAACAATACACATTTAGCCTTTTAACTTTATATAAACTTTCAATTTATACATTAATTTTATAAAGAATTTTTTTAGTTATTATCAAATCTTAACATTTTTATGATGATTCTTTATATTAGTTATTGCATTTTAAGAAATTAAACATAATTTGCTAGCATGTGTAGATGTTTTGTCACCATTTAAAATATTAATATTGATATTTTTATGCCAATAAAACTAACAATGTTTATGTCGGTGTTGGAGAAGTAAAAGTATACTTCATGAAATGAAGAGATATAAAATGGTGAAATAAAAGGACTAAAAGTGTGATTTTGTCTAAATTAAAAGTTTCAGTAATACTATTAAAAAAAAAGAAACTACGAACCAAGGGCCCCAAAAAATTTGAGAGTCCAAAGTTTAATTAATTTTTTTTACCTAAATTAAAAATTAGCTTAGCATATCTTCTGTTCTTCTTTTCCGCTTTTTGAATCTTTTCCACCTTTTGAAACTGAAACACAGTTTCATGAACAGTGTTGAGAGAATTATTATAAGTTCTAAAAAAAAAAGATTTAATTATGATGTCTTAATAACAATGAGCGGTTTAAACATATTACTCTCCAATTCTAAATATAAAATTTTTATACTAATATATAATAACGGTCTTATATTTAGAATAGAAGGAAGTAGTATCTTTTTGTACTAAAAACTTATGAATTTTTGGATAATTAAATCACGTGCTTGGGACCTAAAGTAACTGCCCTGATGATTTTCTTTTGTTTCCCGGGGCCCAATAAACTTTTTGAGTCTAAAGTTTAATTTGTATATTTAAAATTAATAACTTAAATAAATTAAAACCTCGGAGTTCTGATAATTAACCAATCACAACTCAACGCAAGCTCGCATAGAATTCAAATGCCTCAGCCTTAGGTCACCCTCCTGCACTTTGCCCTTTCGGAAGTTGGAGTTCCATCTGGTCTTCTCTTTTGTTTATTCTTTTAAAATAGGCAGTGCTTGGATAAGATTTACAAAATTTAAATTATATATATTGTATAAATATATATATTTTGAATTGAATTTTAATATTTATTTTTAAAATTTTTTTTTTACTATAAACCCGAAATTGTTTAACAGATTGCAAGTGAAATTTTTTTATTGAAAAATGCCTTTATTTATAAAGTGATCTAATAGATTTTAGGATAAAGTATGATTGACACTCCATTTTTTAGATACATTCAATACTCTAATCTTATTCATAGTACATCAAGTATCCTGATTTTTTTTTATGTGTATTAAATATTCTAATCTTATTTATAATGCATCTAGCATCCTAAATAATATTAGGGTACTAGATGCACACAAAAAAAAATCATGATGCTAAAGAAAACATTAGGATAGTAGATACACCATAAATAAGATTAGAGTACACTTAGAAAATAAAATTAGAGTGTTGAATATTCCTTTAGTCTAAATAATTACTCTATGCATTGTCAATATCAAATGAACAAAAAAAAAATTCCACTAAATACTCATCAATATGTCAGAGTGTAATGTTTTTGGGTTAATATTATTTTTAGTTCTTACAATTTGACCTCATTTTAGTTTTGGTTTTTGAAATTTAAAACTAATGATTTTGGTCCTTAAAAGGAGCCAAAAGCATTGTTTGAGGGACTAAAAATCTTTAGATCGATCAAAATAAGATCAAATTTTAAGGAGCACAAACAAAATCACTAGTTTCAAATTGAGGGGATCAAAATTAAAATAAAATCGAATTTCAGGATTAAAAAAGTACCAACCTTCTTAAAAAAAGCCCCAATTAATTTTAAACTTGTACCAAATTTTTTGTCATAATTATTTTTTCTTGATCAGTTTTTTGGTCATAATTTACACACCCATTATACTATAGTGTTTACAAAGTCATCGTTCTCATGAATGAACTATTTTTAGTAGCAAAATCCAAACACAGTTGTGAACATGAATAGAGTTTTTTTTTTTTTTTTTGGTTTTTGACCAGCAACATGAATTGAGTGCTTACGAACTAGAACGGAAGTGAATTAAATAAAGTTTGAGGAATCCACATAGAAGAAGCATATGCTAAATTCTGGTGAGCTTACCTCACACCCCCCCCCCCCAACTATTTATTTCATCCACAGCCACGTAATTATTCAACTTCCTCTCTCTCTCCCCCCCCCCCCCCCCCCCCTTTCCAGCCCTTTTTAATAGCCCCTTTTCCCCGATTCTTTCTTCTCTCGCCATATACTCGCAATCTCAAACCCACCAAGATGGGATTACAGAACCACCTCCATGACGTCTCTTCCGATTCCATTCCCCTCCTTCTCCTCCTCCACGTCGCCGCCGGCTTCAATTACCTCCGCTCCTTCCTTCTCGGTTTCCTTCACTCTCTCGGCCTCTCCAGATTCCACCCCCACACACCCGCCATCGTTGACGATGCCCTCCTCGCCGCAGTCGGATCCGGATTCGCCCGCCTCGCGATACTTTCGGACCAGCTCCATGCCAACTATGATCTCACCGACGACGACAGCACGATTGCCGCCCCCTCCATGTGTGTGGTGTGCCGGAGCAAGTATAGGGAGGGTGACCAGGTAAGGAGGCTTCCCTGCCACCACGTCTTCCATAGACGATGCTTTGATGCTTGGCTTCATCAGCTCAAGTTTAATTGTCCTCTCTGTCGTTCGGCTCTCGTCTCCGACGAGCGCGTGGCCCTCGCAGAGCGCCGCGTTGGGAGCGAGGCCTTAGCATGGTTCTCTCTGCAGTGAGACGACGTCGTTTTGCTCCTCGGTTGCTGATAAACCCGGCTTCGAGCCATCGACGGTCCCAATTTCCCCCCGTTTTTCTTTTGGGATCTTACAGCGTGGATGGCAATTTTGATTTTTTTTATTATAATTAATTTAATAGACTATCTTTAAACTCTTTTTTTATAGGGGATGAAAAAGTTGTTTTTCAAAGGGGCTTTGTGCTTGAGCTTGCTTTTTGAGATGTAAATAATTATCGAATTTAGACTCTCTTTTTTTGTGAATGAAAACATTAAGAGATTAGATATTGTAATACGAAATAATAATGCAATTTCCAGAATTGTTATGGAATAAATTTAAAGTAAATTGAAGTTGATTAGCCAGCAGTCTCTTGTACGCAATATAGTTTTGAAAATAAAGTATACATAAGAAATTATGCTTTGTCAAATGACAAAAAAATTCCAAAAGTTACAAATTATATTTTTTTCATATTTATTATTTTTTTATGGATTTGATGTATATTAGATATGATCGGAGGAAAAAGTGACGGAGGGTGTATTATAGAATTAGCAAGGGCTCATTTTCTGTGAGCTGTAGCCTCTAGGAGGGTAGTTGCGTGGAGAGGACTTTTTCCGAAGACGTGTGATTGCAAGTGATGAGATGACGAGCCCTTTATTTGATTGAAGCGATGTCCACCACAATTTGGGAGCACTAGTTAATGCACTCACTTATTATTATTTTTTTAATGCACTGTCATACACTAAAAAGTAAGTTTTTTTTATATAGAATTTAAATCATAATTAATTATATGGTAAGAAATTAGTTCTTTTCTTTAGATTTAACTTATTGATATTATTTTCATTTACTCCTCTAATCCTATTTATAGGATAAAAAAAAATTTTTGATTAAATTTTTAGCATAAATATATTATTTCGTCCTTCATTTATTATAACATAGATTAACTATTTTTTTAAAAAAATATTAAATAGGAGTAAAGTTGAAAAATTATTATATTTTAATAGAGATTTAATGCATTTCAAAGTTTTTCTTACTCAGTGTGAAATATGCTGTAAGTGCCTTATAAATAAAATTATAGAGTATTTTATAAGTAACTATATAGGATAGTTTTTCCCTCATGTGAAAATTTTTTTTAGAAAATATTAGATTATTAAATAAAAGTATACTTTAATGTTTTTTTTTTTTTAAGCTCTCCAATCTTAACGTTGTTACCAAAGAAGTGCTGATACTGAAATAGTAAATGTTAACAAAATATTTTTAAATATTGATATATTAAGTTTAATTTTAAAAAATAATACTCTTCCGGTCCTATATAAATTGTATTACAAAATAGGTCTTATATTTAGAATTGGAGGAGTAATAATTGATGCACAACAAATGATCATTTTAAGAGTAATAATGTTAGGGTCAAAAAGAGGGAAAGATGTTGTATAAAAGTCTGGGACAAGATTAAAATCTTATACAAAATTACATAATCAAAAGTACACTTTTGCCTGTATATTATTAATTCAGTCAAATTTAAGCAAAATCAAATATATTGAAAAAGTATTGTTATACTAACATGATACTCCTCCGGTCCTTATTATAAGACTCCATTTGATTTTTTATTTGGTCCTAATTATAAGACCCCAATCCATTTTGTCTCTTATATTTATATATTTTTTTCCAAGATAATCCTTCTAATAATGATAGTTTTAGCCAATATACTTAATTAGCAAGGATATTTTAGGAATGACAACACTTATTTATTATAAATAACTAACTTAACTTACTTCCTTAATCTCCTCAAATAAGTCAATTGGGTCTTATAATTAGAACCGGAGGAGTATTTTCACAAGATGTAAACGTTAGACCTTATTTACAAGGAATCAACTTGATTCCACTCGACTAATAATTAGGAGTATGAAAAATGAGTCCCAGTATTCGTAATTTAAACTTCTTTTATAATTAATACTAGCATCATATGGTAGATAACTTCTTTTAGAAAGCACTCTGTTAATAAATTTTATAAGAGATTTTAAACATTACTCCCTTCATTCCTTTTTATAAAAGGCACTTGTGAAATATAACAAGTTCTTTTTTATAAGAAATATTTAGAAGTTGTCTCAAAATTTTATTTGTTAATTTTTCATTTTATCCCCATTTAATTTCGTATGTCTCATATCATTGCATTTAATTCCCACATACTCTCTATTCAACATAAATGAGAGTATTTTTGCAAAAATGTTATATATATATATTTATATTTTTTACAAATTTATTATCTTCAACTAATTTAAACCAATATTTCAAATTTTCTCGGTAATTATCATCTAATTTTTGAAAAATCAGAATAGATTTCGATCAATTAAATTAAAATTTCTCATTTACAAGTTACAACAATTGAATTTAAATAGGGATAATTATGAAGGAACATGGGTCCCGCACGAATGGAATATTGGAATTATACATCTTCTTGCTTGCCGTCTGAGGCATGGGCTGCTGGGAATGGGAAAATGAAAGTTCCTCCACAGCATCCTAATTGTTATTTGATGTCTCTTTTTAACCAAATCATCATCATCACCATCCATGCTTACCTCACGCTGCTTCTTGCTTTCACGTTTCTCCAACATTTAATTGTTATTGGATTGAATTTGATTTTTTTTAAAAAGTATATGTATGATTTATACGATTAAAATTTGATCTAGTTAGTTTGAAATTATAGTGAAGGACCAATGAAAAAAAATCATTGAAGAAAAACCAAGTCCTATTTAAACACAACCATCTATACTTTATCTATCTATCGGTTTGAATTGAATACATCATAAACCACGAAACCTAACATAATTGGTACTTGGTTAGGTTTCTTAAGCACTTATTTAGAAGTTCGATTCCTGACAGTGTGTATAGAAAGAATCTTGTGACCGGCACTAAAGTTCTTTAAGAAAATCTACAACATGAGGAGATAAGTTATGTCTACCTATGGTGGATACTCTAAACTCAACTAAAAACTAAAAAGGATTGAATACATATTGGCTCAAGACAGGATTTCTTCATATTTTTTATGAAAAATAATATAGATAGATTCATAGAAAATACAATTAAGTTGGTTGTCACAGCTCTATTGACTTGTAACAGCCTCTTATTTTACATTGGCCTTACATTAAAATATGCTTCTCCGGTCCTAAATATAAGACTCATTTTATAGTATAAATTACATTACATAATGTGTTTTATACTTAAAACCGGAGGAGTATTATCTTCCATTCTATATGTATATATGTACTAAATTAATTAATTTACAGCCATTTACTATAGCCCAAACCATTTCTTCAAATTGATTTTGTGGAGGGATCTTATGGCAATGACGTGTAAATCAAAATACACTTTGGCTCTTGGCTGGAGATTTTAATGCCAACGTGGAAGGAAAATGAAAGGAAAGGTGGAGCAAGAGGAAATGTTGCAGGCTGCCACTTGTTCAAAGACTTGCATTCATACTCTCAGCAACAAGTTAATGGACTTGGCCTTTTTGGCCCATAACAATAGTTGAAGCCACAAACCATTCAAGGTTCTTGCTTCATTGACCCCTCGTCCCGATTTTACAAGTCTTGTTGAAAGAAGCTGGGCCCAAGGGGGGAACTTTCCTGAGAAGATTAACTATTTGTCTTTGAGGCCCAGAAGTGAAACGAAGATGTGTTACCAACAGGATTAAATTTAATAGAAGGGATTAATCCTTCCCAATGTGACAAATCAAAGTTTAAATTTTTAGTAAGAGAGGTGTTCATATTTAGTACCAAACAGTATTTTTAATTGGATTACCTTTAATAAGAGGATGCTTATGCGTAGCAAAAAAAAAAAAAAACAAAGAAAGAAACGAATATGTGTTTGGGCATATTGGTAAAAAAGAAAGGCCAACTTATAAAGGAGTTTAATGGTGGTTATTTGGATCCCTATTTCAACCCAACCTTGATTTCTTTAATTGAAGTGAATCAACCTCAAAATTGTTATCATATGCCCAAGAAGTCATGCTCTCTATGAGGAAAAAAAAGAAAAAGGTAAAAAGGGCCATTAAAGTAGACTTGGCAAAAGCATTTGACAAGTTAAGATGGGAATTCATTGCGAAAATACGAGGAAGATTAGTCGATATTATCATGAAATGCACTACCAGTTCAATTATGCAGGTTCTCTGCCATGGAAAACCTACAGAATGCCTTCAAGCCTCCAAGAGGAATGGGCAAAGCGATCCCTTGTTGCGTATAGAGAATTAGAGATACTCTCTGAGGCATCAAAGAGGAGGTCGCTAAAGGGAATTGGGGACAATGAAAATAGGGAAAGCTGCTTTTTCTCTGTCTCATTTTTTTTTTTTGGCTGCAACAGCACCAACGCTAATAAAGCTCATTAAGAAAACTTGAATTTTCGTCTTGCTTGTATGGGCGTGGTGTTAAGACTAGAATTTTCTTCTCCCATGATGTCTCCAATCAAGAGGCGTCCTCCATTTGTGATGTGTAACGCCAATCCTACTAACTATATACTAAGCACAAGAGTTTTACTGCCCTTAGTTGTAGGGCTCTCAATTCAACGATCACCTCAACATTCAAGGGTTCTGCCTCTTTTTTATTCATGCCAATTAAGTATAGAAATAAATTTAAATATCGTAATTCATGCATAATATTAAGATCTAAATTTAAAATAAAATAGATCTTATGCAGCGAAGCAAATTAAACAAGCTCCTATATATAACCCATCAATTCTGCGAACACCTATCAATATCCTATGGCCATGATGAATAGTAAAGTATAACTCAGCATGTGCTTAGAGAGCACAAGAGCCAATGTCTCACTCCTTTGCCGTCCGATGCCTTCCCTTTCTCCCTATGAAATCCTTCACCTGGAAAAGTTGTTAAAGAATCAATTATAAGAACACCTATTAATATCCTATGAACATAATTAGCAATAAAATATAATTCAGCATGTGCATAGAGAGCACAAGAGCTAATGTCTCACTCCTCCGTCCTCCGATGCCTTCACTTTCTCCCCATGAAATCTTTTACTTGGAAAAATTGTTAAAAATTTAAGTGAGCACTAATGTCTCTATAGCTCAAAATTCTACAATATACATACAAATTAACAAACACAAGCAATTATAAAATAAGCATCCATACAATTATGTCATAAAATGGGCTGGATAAATATTTTAAGTGTGGGAAACAATAATGGGAGAAGAGGATAGTCGAAAATTGTTCTGCATAGAATCTTTCAACCTCTAGAGGCTCCTCAATGAAGCTCTTTCTCTTGTTTATTAGTATTGCTAGTTTGATACTTAATAGGCTTGCATATTACTCCTCTGGTCCTTAATATTGGACCTCTTTGGTCATTAACATAGGGCCTAACTGAGGAGTTGATATTAGTCTTATATATAAGACTTATTTTATATGTTTATCAATTTTTTTTCAAATTAACCCTATTGATATTCCTCTAACAATGATCAAGTAGAAGAGGAAGGGAAGGAACTGAGAAAGATGCTTAGGGTGTCTTGGAAAAAATATATCATATTAATTAATTTAACTAACATCCTTAATCTATTCAAATTACTTAATTAGATATTATATTAGAGACTGAAAGAGTACTTTGTTTTGCAGCCTGTTATTTTGTATTTTTCAATTTTTTTATAACTAGTTTTTTTTATTATACTTGTATGAACTCTCAATTTTTTTCACTTTGGATCTTCATTAACTTAGGCATTGGATTGCTTATACTAAGAACTCCATTTAATTTTTTTTGCACCAAAACTCCATTTAGGTTAATTGCAACTTGAATGAGAGAAAAGGTTTCAATGATATTCCTAATATTTTACAATTACTATTATGACAACTTGTTATTATAATAAAATAAAAAAAAATAAAAAATTTTTTTGGCCTGATAAATATGACATACTGAAAGGCCGAAGTTGTAATATATAAAGGCCAAAAAAAAGAAGTAATACATAAAATTTTCATGCGTGATGTTTAAATTTTCTCTGTATATTAAAAATGATTAAAGTATTTTTTATTCCGAAAATATTTATGGAGGATTGATGAACATCATAAAAATGGTCTTGTATTGGGAACTGGAGGTGTACTTTGTTTTGTTGCTTATTATTATGTATTTTTCTTTTTTTTGATAACTAGTTTTTTTTTAAATTATACTTGCATGAACTCTCAATTTTTTTCACTTTGGATCTTCATTAACTTAGGCATTGGACTGCTTATACTAAGAACTTCATTTAATTTTTTTTGCACCAAAACTCCATTTAAGTTAATTGCAACTTGAATGAGAGAAAAGTTTGTAATGATATTCCTAATATTTTACAATTACTATTATGACAACCTGTTATTATAATAAAATAAAATTAAATATGACATATTGAAAGGCCAAAGTTGTAATAAATAAAATTTTCATACTTGATGTTTAAATTTTCTTTGTATATTAAAAATGATTAAATTTTTTCTTATTCCAAAAATATTTATGAAGGATTGATGAACATCATAAAAATGGTTTAGTCCAATGTACTCTAATTTCAAAATTGGAGCTACTTATATATACACTCACATATACTTAATATAAAAGCTAAATAACTAATTTACAAATACTAAAAAAATTAATTAAATTAATTATTTGTAAAAAATGTATACTGGTTTTTCTAAAACACTCTTTTTAATCATTTGCATTAGAAGTTGGAGCTACTCCTTGATAAAAATCTTCTTGGCATGTGTAATCAACATAAACTAGTTTGGAAAAAAAATTATAAATTTGAGAAATAAAATGAATTGATATTTTATATTTAGAACAAATAAAACCCCTTACCTAGCTCATATATTTATGACAGGAGGAATTACAAATTTGGGAGATAAGATAAATTGAATTCTTACTTTCAAAACAAAAACTAACTTTTTAACTACCATATTTAGGAAAGAATATAAAAATTTTATTCTTAAATGTAATAGATGTGTAAAGATAATGGTGATGGTCATGTGATTGTGAGTGATTAATGTCAAAAGGCAATACAATTAATAATATTTGCTGTGAGTGCAAATGTTGAAGAAAAGACACCTTATTAGCTTTGTGCTTTTGCTGGTCCACCATTTTACTAACCAACTTGGTCAACTTTTCTTCTGTTTGGTGCACTCCCATCACCTGCTTAATCTGTACAATCTCCATCCATTCCCACTAGTACAAGGTGTATATGATTGAATCCTTTGTAATGCATGAAATCATTACAAATCTAAATTAGCCAAGAGTACCAAAAATTTCATTCATTCTTAATTATAAGATTTAGTTTTGAAATTGAAGAATACCAAGAAAGCAGTACTTGAGTTAATTGGTTGATTTTTTTTTTCTTCTTTCCAATTTTACCTTTAATTAATTAAATGCAATGATTTACACACTTTCAAATGCTATTTTACTATGGTTTAATTATTTATTGAGGGTATATGTGGAAACATATATATCGTTTTTGGGTGAAAATTAGGGGCAAAAGCCCACTCATGGAAGCATATTCTAACACTTTCAAGGATTGCAAAGGGTCTTGTAAAAATAATATTATAGCCTATAGTCTATGACATATATAAAAAAAAATTTTAAGTAAAGAATTGTGAGTTTAATTCCGCGTACACCTCAAATTGTTAGTACTTACTCTTTATATGAAAAAGAAGAAACGTGCATGACGTAGAAGCTATCCAAGACTTTTTAACTGGAAAACAAAAAAGAACGAGAAGAAGAAGAAGAAAGACATTGTGCTCTCTGTCTTTATATATAAGAAAAAAGTGACCACTTATTAAGAAGAGCTGTTAAAAGTAATTATTTCTTTTAATCGTGTAATAAATTAATTTTAGAAATAAAAATGATTTATCAAAAGACCATCATTTAAACTTTTTTTTAAAGCATTTAAGGTTGTAATATGTCATATTTTATATTACTAAGACCAAGATGGTCGGATTATATGATTAAAAATAGTATATCTTATAAAATTAAAAATTTAAAGTAAATGCTTATGTAGATATAAAATTATATATTTTTTTTAATATTTCTGCATAATTAATTACAATAATATGAGGCAGAATCCTAAGAGATAAAAATGTAAGAATTAAGCAAGAGATATTTTTTCTTTTCAAAAGGAGTAACATAAGTCTCGTCTCTGTAAATCCTTATTTTGCAAAAAAAAAAAAAATTTCATAAACATTTATCAAAAGAAAGCATAGGTATCTTCCTATTAGAGGTAATTATATTTTTGGCACTGTCTGGCACTACACGTGGGTATCTTTCTCAGTAAAGATACGAATTTTGATTCGTCACGTTATGAGGAACTAACACCTTCTACTGAACCCAATCCCGATTGGTAAGTTCTAATCTTTGCATGCAAGTCTTACATACATATGACACACCCACTACATTTTTTTATCACATAAAATTTTAAAAAATAAATTATATACATAAAAACATATAGATTATTGCACAAGATCATAGCACTGCTTCAAAAAGTCCAAACTATATACATACATAGTCATACTAATCTCTTCCTCCTTTTTCTTGGTCATAATGGGCCTCGTCCCTTTGATTAAACAACTCAACAAAATCATAAAAGATGAAACGTTGGATCAGATCAATCACGCAAACCTTTTTTGTTTTAATTATAAATCCTTTTATTTATTTATTTGTTTACTTATTCAAGTTGACATGCATTCCCAACTTCATACCAACTAGAATGGTTACAAAGTGTTATTAATGAGATTTTTATTTGGACTACACATACAGATCCTTCAGTTTTTTTCATTTATTATTTTTAACTCAGGCTTCTTAAAAAGAAAAAAAGAAAAAGAGGAGAGCTGTATTAGACTCTTGGAACCCTCCTGAATTTTTTGTAAAATAGATCAAAAGTATTAACTTCGTTTTTTTTTTATATATTTTTAAGAATCGAACTTTAAAGAAAACGGAATATTATTCCATGTTAGGTCTACATAATTGATAAATCATAGCTTAATAGAAAAAGGACGCAAAAGAGGTATCCAATCTGATTCATTTCTTATGATTCCATTCATTTGACCATACTCACATATATATACTAGAATATCCAATTATCCTTTAACTCGTCATGATTATCATTTGTGCAAGTTTAAGATAAAATTGACGTTGTGAAGTGGGTAAATATTAATAATCATAAAAAGTCCAAAAGTGAAAAACTTTAATTTGTTTCACCAAAGTCATACTCTGTGACCTTTAACATTTTCCCTTTCCTTCTCTCATTTTTTTCCCCTTTCTTTTATCGTTTGGTAAGCCATCATTGTCTCTCTGCTTTGCATCTATGTTCCATTGGAGGAAGAGAAATCAATTATCAAAAGCTGAAGACACAGAGACGGACAAAGAATGAAACAAACAAAGAAAGAAAGAAAAATTAAAGAAGGAAGAAGAAGAAGAAAAGATAAAAACGAAGTCGTTTTGGTTATATTAAATTCATTAATATAACAACGAAAAAGCAAATTAAAATACATATCATTGATGGGTGTAAGTGATGCATGCCAAGCAGCATCATTAATACTAACAACAAACTAATTATAAGTCCCTCCCTCTAATCTTTCTCTCTCTAGAAAGATCAAAACCCTTCGGAAACATGAAATATAGTCCCAAAAATCCAAACTTTGAACCAAACCCACCTCACAAATCCATAGCTATAACCTCGTATGCATCTCTTACATCCCATGCTTTGATCAGAAAATAAAAACAGAAGAGAAAGTGGAACCAGTGGCTAAACGGTAATAAAACACAAGAACCAGGGTTAAACAAGGAATTAAAAGAAAATTAAGAACCTAAGAGACTAAAGTTAAAGAGATAAAATTCGGACCGCTACCCTCAATTCCCCGCAATGCAATAATAACGATCTCCCAATTCTGCCCCTCTCTCTTTCTATCTCGGTGGAGGGCTAGAAACTCGGGAGAGCGTAATTGCAAAGCCTTTTTGTTGCTGTGCTTGTGTTGGCTTCTTTTGATATCACCGCCGCCGCCGTCTCCGGCGGGCATAACATCCTTCACCGTCACCTCCTCCGCCAGCACAGCCACCGGGACTGTGGAAGACACCGTTTTGGCTACGATTCATCTTCAAGAAGATGAAGATAGTTAGCTAAGGTAGGGAAAGAGAGTAGGAGGAGGAAGAAGAAGAGAAGAGTATGATGAGCACGCATATGGCCAAGGAAGGGGACATGGTGGGTCGTATATAAAGGCAAGGATTTTAGCTTTTCGTTCCTTAGTTTTATTTTTTTAATTAAGAAAAAAAAAGATGGTTAGATTGGTCATCTGATATAATATTATGGGTAGAGTAGTTTTCTAAAAGAAAAATAGATATTATTTTATTATAAAAATATGTTCATATTTTGCTATTTTTAAGAAAAATTTATGATCAATTTAAAACATTTTTTATTTTAATAAAATTATTGAACATGGTCCAAAAATTACAAGTAGTTGGTAAAAAAATTACAAGGTAAGTAGTTCATAAAAATTCTTTTAAATTTAATCAATAGACTAGTTCATTTTTTGTTAAAATATATTAATTTTATTGTGGATTTTTATTGAAGTTATATGTAGTTTCTTTTTTTTTCAAAAAACAGCCAAAAAAACTCTTAGTTAAATTGCGTAGAACTTTTATATCATGTATTTAAGTTCAATGAGATTATTTTTGAAACAAAAATTATATTACAATTTTTTTAAAAAAAATTATTGAAGAGAAACATTTTTCTCTTTTTAGACATGAGCTAATTCCAAATAAATTTTTCTGTGATTTAAAATTGATGTGACCTGAGTAAAAATGAAAAAGAGTTAAGTAATTTATTCATATATTTAAATAAAGAAAAGAAAGAGAGAGTATTTTGGTGTTATTTGTTGGAAAAAGAGAAAGAGAGGTGGGGGAAATAAGATTAAGAAGCAAGGAGGCGAGGAGGGCATGTTTGTGGGGAATGGTAAAAACTCCACTAACTCGGATTCCAAGGCTCTTGGAATTTTCATGGTCATACATTTTATATTTTTAATATTTATTAATATTAATATTTTGATTTGATGGGTTAGGAGAGAGAAAAATAGTGAGGGAGGGAGGGAAGGAAGGAAAACAAATGGGAGAAGGAATAGGGAAGGATCACTAAGCTCAATACAGAAAGAAAGAGCTTTTTATGGGCAACTTTTTGGATTCATTAGCCCTATTATTGAGAGAGAGACTCTTTTGTGTATTGTATATGCGTTTGCCCCTTAGTGGGCATTAGCCTTATTGGTTCCTGTGAACCCTGTGCCATATGGTCCAATCCCTCCATCCTTGACCCTACCCTCATATTCTTCATTCTTCCCTTTTCTTTTGCATCATTGAGTAATCAACACCATCTACTTCCCTCTCACCCAAATTGCCAAATTATATTGTCTATGTATTTACAATTGAAAGTTATGTATAACACGACAAGAAACTTCACATCACAAGATGTATATATTCAGGTTAAATGATTGACAAATTGAGTGGTGGCGTGTATATTTGGTTTTAAAGTTTGTAAAACGGATATTTGCTGAATTAACTTTGATTTGTGTTTATAATAAAAAGGAAAAATTAATCTTTTAGTCCCTATAGTTTTCACTCATTTGTAACTCAATCCCTATACTTTGACTTGGTGCAACTTAGTCCCTCTAGTTTTGACTCGGTTGTAACTCGGTTCTTGAAATTTGACTCATTGCAACTCTGTTCCTATAGTTTTAACCATTTTATAATTTAGTCCCTCCTTTTATTAGATATATAATTTTACTTTTAAAAAACACAAGGACTAAATTATAAAATAGACAAAACTATAGGGACCGAGTTACAGAGAGTCAAACTTTAAGAACTGAGTTACAACTGAATTAAAACTAGAGAGATTGAGTTGCACCAAGTCAAAGTATAGGGACTGAGTTACAAATGAGTGAAAACTATAGGGACTAAAAGATTAATTTTTCTAAATAAAAACTAGCCAAACAATAGTTTAGTGACATTTGTCTTTCTAAAAATTCTTTTGATGTATAAAAGTGGAATAATTCCAATGGAGGCTTCATGGCTTAACGTGTCAAATTAACCTGTTAGCATCATCTCAAAGTTCGATAAATAAGAAAGCCTTGAAAGAGAAACTTAACCCATGATGGAATTCTCTCGAATCTGAACAAGTGATAGCAA